TTTTATCGTTCTAGTTTTATAAATTACAAGTCTCCATAAACATTTTCTTCCCCTATGAAGCTGACGATCTACCTGATGGTAAGTGGTAACTGTCACCTATATACATCGATGCAGCTCTGTGACATACATATCTTTATTCTTTCACTAGACGTGCCTGCGCCGCATGAAATTGAAAGCCTATGTACCTAATATTTGTACGTATAATTAGTAAAAATCACGGGATCTTACCACGTTTTATATTTATTTGCTGAGTTCCCGATATTTCGATACTTCAACGACCATGATCACGGGTAAACTGATTTATTTGGTAAGATCTCGTGATTTAAATTGACCGCGTCAAATTTAAAACTATGTAATATTACTGATCATCAAAAATGTTATCTGTGCTTAAACTAAAGATTACAGTGTGTAGGTAAGTGTCTGCTATAATAATTATTATTATACCCACCTAACAGATTTTTTCTGTGATTATAAAATACTATACCGTATACGTGGTGGCGTAAACAAATACGATTATATTTGTCTCACTCATTCCAAACTGTTTCTGTATGAAAGTTAGAAGGAGACGTCAAGTGTTTTCTGTTATCCTGGTAGTTGAGTTTGCATGCGTGTGCGCATTGAGTTATTTATCAATGAAACACATCGATGTTGTACAGCTATGTGCGTACTACTAGGTTGCGCTTGTAAGTTGGGAGTACTGTGATTGGTCAAGAATTATTCAATAGGTTATCTGGATGGAAAAAAATGATGTATTTATCTCCCTCACTCCAAAGTGCTTCTTTCTAAAAGTTGGAATGAGACATCCAACTCTCTCTGTTATCCTGGTAGTTTAGTTTGTATTTTGAGAAATTCAGTGGAGAGTAGTTAATTTATTAAGTTGTTTAGCAACGATGTGTGCACATTGGTGTATATCCATCACGCTACAAAATGACATATTTATCTCTCTTACTCTAAAGTTGTCTCTTTCTAAAAGTTTGCATGAACCGCCCATTTCTTTCTGTTTACCTGGTACCTACTTGAGTTAGCGTAATTCTTACTGGCGTGCAGAGCAGCGGAACCGGGCCCGAGTCCCCTCACCAGACGATGTTCGCACCCAGAGGCTTTTAGACTCACGAGACCAGTTGGAGGGATGGAGGAGTAGATTGGAGGATCCAAGGACAGGCCTAAAATCTGTGGAGGCCATCCGGCGGACCTTCAGATTGAGACAGGTCCAGTGACCAGTCATGGTTGCTTCGGTAAGTATCTGTGCGAGATTGCCCGTAGAATACATGCGTACATTACAAGAATGTTCAGCATTCGTGGAAGAGCGTCGCGTCCTGGTTACAGTCATAGGAAACCTCTCGTTGCCAGCAGTTATACATGAAATGGTGAGCAACGAGAGGTCCTGGAGAGCAGAGAAGGGAGTCGTTTCCCTCGCTCCGCAAGGGCGCACGGGTTTCAATGATATTTCCTCAAGTTAATTATAAAAAAGTGTAATTCGTAAATGTATTTGATTTAAAAGTTGAAAGTAAAGAATAATTTTAGTTTGAATTGAATTGAAATGTTGATTAATCAATTTGGAGATTTCAAAATAAATTATAAACGACAGGATCACAGAATGAGTTCCTTGTAATTTTTTATAGATTATTGGTTGTACAAAATAGGCGCTGATTAGCGCAATCATTAATTTCATTTTCATTACATCCAATATCCTCGAAGCAATCATTAATTCCGATTTCATTATATCCAATCTCATCAGATCAAGAGTAAACCGACATGCAGATAAGGTGTCAAAATAAAATGTTTTCGTTGTAATTTTTTTATTGATTATTCGTTGTACAAGCAACTATAATTATATAATAATTTTCAAACTTAATATAACAATTGTTAACGAATTAATGGAAGAACTTGTCAAGTAACAATATTAATAAATGATATAATTGCTACACCGTAATACAATGGGGAATGGTAGACTTATTTGTTAAATTAAAACTTATTTTACCACAGTCAATAAACAATTACATAAAATAGGTGACACCCTGTTATCTAAGTTTAGATTTTCACCGCGAAGTGATTACAGCCGCCCATGAGCACCCGCAATACCAGGGGTTTTACAAGTGCGTTGCTGGCCATTTAATAAGGAATAAGCTCTTTTCTTGAAGGTTTCAATATCGTATATGTTCGGAAATACCATTGGTGATACTATATGATTTCACAATATGGTAGTGCGTGGCAATGTTTCTGGAAAAACTCATTCATCCAAATCATTAGGATGGAAATACTATAGATGTAATAGGTTACACATATATAGATATATATATTTTTCAAGAACTTATAGCATATATATGTAAGTATAACATTATGGTCCTCTGGAAGGGCAGCGCATGAGTGGTATCACGGGCGTCACATGATAACGTGATGACGACGGTTCATAAGTAAAATAAACTAAAAAGTTTCTTTTATATAGGGTTGTCACCTTTAACAGTTTTTGTGGCATTAAACCAAACATATTCAATATAATAATCTACTATAATAATAATGTTTAATATCGTAAGTAATTATACACAAACAATAAAAATATATTAATACTGCATTTATGTTAATATACCTGGAAAAATGTTAGAAAACTACTCAATTGATTTGCTAAAAAATGTTACGTGATCTCTACTTCATACAGTAATCCCTACTGTAACACGGTACTATGAAAACGCATTTCATATTACTCGGATATTAATCCGCCGTATATGAGGAATGTCCGTAGCATTCCTCAATATAACACGGGGATTTCACACATTATATTTCTGTACACTGAAATTTATGATTTGTACAGTTTATAATTAGTTTTATTACTTCATATTCATATTTGTATTTATAATAAATCTATAATCTGTATTTTTGTAAACATGTATAACATTTAGTTGAAAAGAATACGAGCTGAGTTTCTTGTTAGTTCTTCTCATCTCAAAATCATTCCGAACTGACGGTAGATTTGGCATATCATAAGAGTCTGTAATAGACCTACATGAATAAAGATATTTTGAATTGAATATGCATTAAGTTTTTATTTAAAATGTTCTTAGTTCAGTTTTATTTTAATAAAACATACGTATTTCGTTCATTTTATAGTTTTTTGTTATTATATTCGATTTAAACCCGCTTTAGGGAATAATTTACATGTTATTAGGGAAATTTCCTGCAACGCGTTTATCCTATAATACGAAACCAATCTATATTGCTATAGGGGGGATTACTGTATTTGATTCGTCCAAGTGGCCATTTTGGTCATATACAAAAATCTTATAGTAATTTTCATACAACTAGCGCGACATACGCAAGATAGAAGTTAAATACATACATACATCTGTATGTACCAATCTGTAACATTATACTGTGCTCCATTGTACTCAAACATAGTTTAAAATAATTTAGAATAATAATATTATTTTTAAGATTTGAATTAAATTTGGAAATCTTATTTGATTGAATGCTGATATACATCCGTTTTTGTACCGAACCGAATTTCCTTTGGGACAATACCTTTCAGATTATAATAGTCTTTTAGCGAGAAGCCAAAAGAGTTCAGTTACAATCAGATTTTTTAAATATTTTTTAGATATTTAAGAATATTTCACTGCCTCGGTTATCTAGTGGTTTAGCACACCGCATTACATAGAAATCGTCCATACCGGTACCAACAATCATACTCATGAATACAAATGTTTACATTGTGCGAGGAATCGAATTCGCTACCGTCTATATAAGATAGTGTGCTAAACCACCAGATCACTGAGACCGTTATAGTTACTTATTATCATTATATCCGGTCTCCACTGTAGTTATACCACCTCTGTCATATAATATATATCTGCAGGAAGCTAAGAAAATAATATATTTTATATTTAAATATAAATTTATTTTATCCAATTATATTACATTCAAATTTCAGACAACCTAACGGCTACCCGACTGTATATCAGCAGTCTTAATATCGCGTAAACAGTATATTACAATTACAAACAAAACTTTCTCGCGTATCTTAATTCATATACGATCTCTATTGGTTCTATCTTGCGTCGCTCTATATTTATAAGTGTATATTTTAGAAGCACTTGGGGCTTAATACCATGTACATATGTGTTCACTTATTATTAGAAAGACCATAAACTGGCCGGAAAACTTCGTATGGAAGTTATTTTTTTTCCAAAAAACCACATTTCCAATGGTTGAAAGACTATTCTGACCAGCAGATAAATATTTTACATTTTTTTCTTAATGTCTTCACGTATTTATACGTTACTTGCACATTTAGGTAATTATTTACATTTAGCCAAAAGTTACTTCAATAACGTTATAGTCTAAACTTACGTTTGTTCAATGAATATTCGGATAAATCCACTTAATATGGACTAAATTTTAGTCCTTTATTCATAAAATTGTCATTTTAAAAAACCTCAATTTCATGTATTGAACTGTTTTGTCCTTTTCTAACACATTATTTTCGTCATTTGAGAGAAAGTGACAAAACACTGCAATAGTTAATATATTTGAAGTATTTAGTTTTTATGGATAAAGGGTTAATGGTCCGCAACTTATTTAGAGAATAACTTATTCACTAAATCTTTTTCCACTGTAATTACAATTGTACATATTATATATAAACAAAATATATACCATGATTATATTATTAATAATCTCTCATAAAAAGTATAATACTGCTGTTTTATGTTGCTGTTTTAGTCTCTCTGTTTCGATGCTGGTTTCTTCTAAATTACGCAATGGATATTAATTTAATCCTCACTATAATTTCGAGATTTGTTCGGAAGATATCGGTATATGTATATACAATATAAAGACATTGAAGGGATCACACACTATATCACTATACGATACAGGTTTGTATGTACATATGCACCGTGCGAGATATCGAACCCACGCCCATCGGAAGTAAATCGGAGAAGTAAATGCTAATATTGTATATACGCTATATTAAGGAAACCGTTATAGTTATTTAGTGGTAGTAATCAATCAATTGTAACCGACAGTATATCCGGTTTCTACTGAGTTATACAATCTTCATAACATACACTATATACGTACATGAAGCTGAGAAAAGAATACAATCACAGTAAATATCAAGTCTATTTTATACAATTATCTATTATCTTCAACTTTCAGACAACCTGACGGCTAACCGACTGTATATCAGCAACCTTAGTATCGTGTAAATACTACTTTAATAAATACACGCAGCGGTCCCGTCACGATTTCGTCATATTGTACAATTATCTATTACATTCAACTTTCAGACCACCTGACGGTTAACCGACTGTATATCAGCAACCTTAGTTAGTTATGTATTAACAGTACTTTAACAAATATACGCAGCGGTCCCGTCACGATGTCGTCATCTTGTACAATTATTACATTCAACTTTCAGACTACCTGACGGCTAACCGACTGTATATCAGCAGCCTTAGTGTCGTGTAAATAGTTTAATAAATACATGCATCGGTCCCGTCACTATGTCGTAAACGTTTGTACTGGTGCAGTGGTCGTGGTCGTGTCGTCGTCGTTACGTCCTCGTGTGGTTGTTGGCGGTCACCGGGGGCGCGGCTTCGGCCTCCTCGGCCGCCGCTTCCGCTTTTAATTTACGATATTTACCTGGAATTTAATTAAATATTTTCATTAATAATCTTCGTAATAAACATATACGCGAAAGTTTGTGACTATAGATGGATGTTGTGTGTTGTTATGTTACACTTTCACGCAAAAACTATTGAACGAATTTTGATGAAACTTTACAGTAACATAGCTTCATCGTCATACATCAGAGTAACTTATAGGCTATAATAAAATACCGAACCCCCGTCAAATTTAAACGGGGATCGAAATGTCGACGACCGTGTTGAGGTTCGAACCCGTAGTGATGCCTTCAGACTATAGTCGTATCCGTCACGCGGGAGTTGGCCTTCAGCCGCTCCATAAGTCCTTCCGCAGTTTGGAGTGCCATCTGTACTCGCACCCTATCGTTCGATGAAGCTGTAAAAGCCAGCTGCGGTCAACAGCATTAGAGTAGTCTAAAAAAAACAAAATAATGATTATTGTTCTGTTTTCCAACATGTCTGATGTTTTCTTGTATTTGTATATTTTTTGTACTTGTAAACAGTAAGATTCTTCCATTGAACCGTTTAACTTTCGCAAGCGTTTAGCTCTGAAGCTAAGCGAGTTAAACTGACGCTACAAATCTAATTAAGGTGATATTTTCACTTACGCGCTACTTTGACGAAGATCACGCCCCACCAGATGGACCAGCCCCAGCCCACCAGACAGAATAGCACCGTGAACAATTGCCCGCAACCCACCAATAAGTTAATCACGAAGGAACCTAAAAAAAACACATAAAACTTTCAAATCAACTCGAAAATCATTCATTCTTTTAGCCGCTTAGGAACGTCAAGATTTTGTTTTACGAAACTTTACAGATGTCATCCTAGACAACAGATGATGATGATCTGGAGAGGTTGTAACGGAAGGGTCTCGAGTGTTGACTGAAATATTACAAGTGAAGACAAAAAATAGACAACTTACCTATTCTATGTTTTGCACCGTCATGAACCCCGAACCTGGGTATTCCAAAACATAAACAGAACATGCCGCTGAATATTGTACCTGCAAATAAATTCAAAATATCTTTATTCATGTAGGTCTATTACAGACTCTTATGATATGTCAAATCTACCTAAATAAAATGATTAAACTTCCGTTGTCTGTTCGCTTAGATCTTTTAAACTATGCAACGGATTTAATGCAGTTTTTTTGCAATATATAGAGTGATTCAAGAGGAAGGATTATATGTATAATATATGTACACTCGTACAAAGCCGAGGCGGTTAGCTAGAATATAATAACTCTGGACAATCCACAGCGCCATCTAATGCCAAGCTAAGCAGAACTCGTATTATCGGTATTAGACAACTGATGTAAATACAAAGATAATTTTTTTTTGTAAATACATATATAATATACTTAGAATGCACGCGGAATAATACAAATATTCATACCCATGAGTACAAAATGTTTATACCGTGCGAGGAATCGAACTCATGGCTATCGGAAGTAAAGCAGTATACTAAACCGCTAGACTACCGAAGCCGTCATAATTTAAGCTCGTATACTACTCAAGGTAGAGGTTTTGCTTAGAATGACATTGAACATTTCTTATGTAATTGGAATTTCAGACTATATATATGGTAAGTAGTAATCGTCGTCTATCACGTTATCATGTGACATCCGTGATATCACTCATATGACGACACTAGTCAGAGTGTACCGCTAGGAGTTCGAACCACGACTAAGGTTCATGCGTTCAGTCCAGAGTACATAGAAGTCATGCTTCTTACTCTGTAATTTCACTTGCTAATCTGCATCCTACAAGCAAAACAAATGTCACAAAGTAAATTGCTTAGCGACTGAAATAAGTGAGACGGACAGATGACTTTTTACTACCTTCGGTATTTATTTCATTGTAAAAATGTATCACAAACCAAGTCCTGGCACAATGATGTTGCAGAAGAGACAGAAGTAGGCGAGTATGGTGGGTAGTACGGGAATGGCTCCGCGCATCACACTCGTGTGTTCCACTAGTGAGGAGTCTAACTTCTTGCGAGTGTCCTGAAACAAACAGTTTATCATTAAATATATAACAATGGTTTCGGGATGTGTCTGTGACGTTAAATATTGTTATTTACAAAAGTATGCAACCTCTTTGCTACAATGTATTTTATTCCTTTTTAAAAAAGAACATAGAGCAATCGAATTTTAAATATGTCATTCTGAGCTGAATCAATGGAGGGAAATTGCAAATCCTCTAAATATGTACAAAATATTTGTTTTATTTTCACAAGAACAAAAGGATAGTACAAATAGGATGTTGATGAGGATATCGCGTTTCTGTGCATCTGGCATGTTTGCTCTTACACGAACAGATGACTTCTATATTATAGAGAATTATAATAAAACAAATCTTACAAACGATAACGAAATATTTTATATCATAGCTTATAAACTCATCATCCTGCACAAAGGAAGATCTAAAAAATGCGACCGAATGCGCAAAAGTCGTCGCAATATTCTGGAGTAAGTGCATTTAATTGCCATTGAAACGAAAGAAGCTTACAAACCTCAACATCTTCTTCTAAATCAGTATCGCGTTTCATGAAGTCAGTTGTGATCAAAACCTTCACTTTTCTGGAGGGTTGTGGTGATGGGGCAGGGGGTATTTGCAATGTGGTCGACATTTTTGCAAACGTAACGCTTTAATAGCTCTATTCTCATCCAAATTAATTATACACTGTTTTTATATGAAATTTGTCATATTTATATATTTTATATAATGTACTAGTTCATTTACATTTATATTCACTTTCATTTTTCAATGACTATGCATTTTCAAACACAAAAGATATCGTTTAAACAAAAAATTTAATAAATAATATAACATTTGTTTCGATCCATTAACAAATTTGATTTCACTATAATTTATCACTAATAACTTGATATTTAGGTTCTATTTTGTTGTCTTTATTATTATTTTAAATAAATAATATAACATTTGTTTCGATCTATAAACATATTTGAATTCACTATAACTTATCACTGATAAATTGATATTTAAATTATATTTTATTTTATTTATTTCGTAAACATAAAGTTCACTGCACAAACATAACAATTTCCTGAATTTATAATGAGTAGTTTTCACTGTAAACTCAAGGAAGGTACTAACGAAAATCGGCAACTCGGTTCCTCATTTAGAAATTGAATGTTATTGATTGTAGGAACCATTGTAGTAGTTAAAATACGGCGACCTTCATTAAACTAACGTATTTTTATATGAACAGTGAGGAAAGTTTTAATTTTAATAAAAGATCATAATCGCGATGAAGAAAAAAGTGCCCTTCTCACGCGAAGAACTCCATGCATTGTTTTATAAAAATATGTTCTCGTGTCGACAGTTCTTATGAGTTTTGCAATGTTATGCAGATTGCATTGAGCGATCGTGCTTGCCAAGCATTAAATAATTGTAGTTGATATGGATCTATATAAATATGGTCACTTTGGCACCCAACTATGCCAATATGAATAGCCATGTTGGGCGCCAATATCCTATTTACAATAAGAAACTGTAGGTGTGCTATGCACACACACATACATATTGTTAATACAGAGATTGAATTACATCGCGTGGCACAGTGCACCTACTACACGTCCCTCCCCAGTCAGATATACGATGTAGTCCCGTATCGTCGCATTACAATTGTGATAAAATATAAATGTGTTATCATTTGGTAAAGCTCATGACACCACACCAGAACACACAATATATATGAATAGGAGAACCTTCCATTCATAGTAGATAAGTGATAACAGAGACCTGTGAAAATACCAAAGATACCAAAAATATATTGGATTATCCTTGAATAAATTCAAAACATCTGTTAAATCATATTTGCCGAGCAAAGCCTATTACTCACTAAACGATTACTTGAATGAGCGTGCATGACAATAGTTGTTCCTGCACGGGATTTTTATTTAATGTTAGATATAGACACCTGTATAAATATACATTGTAAATAAACTGGCTTATAAAAAAAAGTAATTTGGATCTATATACTGAGATGGATAGTGGTAAAAAATTATAATATATAAAATTTGACGTTCATAAGCGGCTAAAATGGTCTACATGAATAAATGACTTTTGAATTTGATTTTGTATACATAATAAAAAAATATACACTTTGGCGCCCAAGGTGGGATTAAATATGAACCAAATCAGAAGATATTTATTTGGCGCCCAACATGTGATAATCCATGTTGGGCGTAAAATGTAATGTAGACTAAACATGGCAATATTTAGTGCAAACATTTTATAATACATAGATGCCAAAGATTCTATATTTCTCTTGTTATTTGGGTGCATTGGGCTTAATATGGGTATATTTAGTCCGATTTTGGGTGCCTATAAATGTCTATGTTTCTATAGGACTATCTTGGATGTTAACATTTTATTTTTCTAATATTATAACAGCGAAAGTTTTGTATTTATGGATGGATAGATGGATGGATTCGTCCATCCATATTTGTTACTTGTTAACGCAAAAACTACAAAATATATTTTGATGAAACTTTACAGTAGCTATAAATTTCATACGGGTGAAATCGCGGGCACAACTAGTCAATTATAATTAATAAATTTCAACTCGTATAAATTAGCAACAAGTAAACAAGTTTTATTGAATTTACAATCAAGTATTATTCGTGAGTAGATAATATTATCAATTTTATCGTGAGTAGTACAGTATCACATCAGATCCAGCATAATATTTATTTATTTATTTATTTACTTACACAACTATTATTACAGGCCTAAGCCCAATACAATAGTGTATCTAATTCTATATTATACATGTTCGTTAATATAGCATATAACATACAATGTTGTTTTTGTGAATTCACACAGACTACATATGATTTTCAAATAAAAAAATATAAGAATAATATCTTTAATTAATCGATGGGATAATTGGACACGTCAGAGAAGCACAATTTATTAGTTAACGTTGTACTGAAAGGAATAATTCCTGATATTGTTATCACTTCCGTTTTTTCGAAATAATTACTTGTACCCCACAATATGGCGGTCTATGAACAGTGACTCGTATAAAAATGGCATTATACGAGCAGCCGGCGAACAGAACGAAGAATTCACACGCCTGTGCTAATGTTTTATACTAGTGCAGGATCACAAGATCAGCATGAAGTCAGGCCGCCATCCGTAGCGAATTAACAACAATGTTTTCTTAGGGTACCTTTGTTTAGTACCTTATAGAGTACCATTGTAGGGGGGGGGGGGGGGGCTTACAAACAATTTCCCCAGACCTAATTGCAAGTTAGTTCAGAAACAATTAGCCACACTATAAAAACTAGATGACACGGTGATTGTCGATGTAAGTACTTATGTGAAGGTCAGAAGGCGACGGCAATTCGGTGACCAGTGTTTAGTGTCGTGTTTGCACGCGATCCTTGACTCTGATTATATATACAGGCTGTGATTATATATACAGAGAGACGTAATGGCTATTACGCAGTCGCCATAAACTTCCTAGAATTCGTTTCAACTACGGCTGGTATTTAAAAAAAAGTACTCTTTTTTTTTTTTCAGTGAATTAGCTTTTGGCCGCGGCTTTGGCCGAATGTCCGTGGTTGGCCGAAATAAAAATTTGCGTATATGATAAATGTTTGGGTTTGGTGTTGTGCTAGTTTTTTTAAAGAGGCGTAAATATAAAAAAACAACAAACCAAATCAAATCTAATCAGAAATTTAGTCATGTAGGACTTCGTTATGAACGTAAAATTTTTTGTATTAATATTTTTCCGTACCGTCCTGTTCAGATACAGATTCAATGGAGAATCACTGGCAAGAGACTCAACTAAATTTTCTTTTTTTTAAAAGCCAGTTTAATTATATTGTGTACTTATGTAGGTGTCTATGTCTAACATTAAATGAAAATTCCGTGCGTGAACTACTATTGCCGTGCACGTTTTTCATTCAAGTAATTGTTTAGTGTTATTACACTAATGCTGGCTTTGTTCAGTAAATATGACTTAACAGATGTTTTGAATTTATTTAAAGATAATTCCAATATATTCTTCAATATCTTATTGTAAATTTTTATACCCATTCCCATAAAAGACCCGTTGAATTTTTCTAAACAATACTTAGTAACAACAAGTCTGTCCTTATAATACCATGTACATTGAACCTTTATTCCACTTATTTTACAATAATTTCTCTTAACACACACTCTTCACTAAACAAGAAAAGCACGAAGAGAAGAGAGAATGAACCCACAGAGCAGTCTTTCTAGTCTGTGACATATCTAAATATATATAACTCAAAGGTGACTGACTGACATAGTGATCTATCAACGCATAGCCCAAACCACTGGACGGATCGGGCTGAAATTTGGCATGCAAGAAGATGTTATGACGTAGGCATCCCCTAAGAAAGTATTTTGATTAATTCTACCCCCAAGGCGATAAATTAACGCGAGTGAAGCCGTGGGCAAAAGCTAGTTTTGACATTTATTTCTACTTTAATATACATTGCTTGTTTCATACATTCACAACATCATAAGATCGTTTATCATGATCGTAAGATTTGAAAGCGTAACAAACAAAATATCTTTACTCATGTCGACAAGATTCAAACTCACGACCTTGAGGTCTAAATCGGATGTAAAATCACTAGACCACGACGCGTTGAACGTATTAATAATACATACTAATATTATAAAGGGTCTTAAAAGTAAAATCTGTGCGTATATCTTTTTACAATTAAACGACTTAAGGGATCCTAATTTAAATGTGAAGAGAAGCAAAAGAATAAAAAAAAATGGATCTATATTATTTCACTTCTAACATCCCCCTGACTCGGTTTTTGGCATTGTTTTTTCTACGTACAGACTGTCGACCTCTGCAGTTTTATTATTTACACATATAAATAAAATTGGAGTGTCTGTTTGTAATATTGAAGTAACCGTTTTATTACTACATGCATATAATATAAATACTGTACATACACCAAAATAATATTTTTTTTAAATTTTTGTCTCTCTGTCTGTTTGTTCCGGGTTATCTCTGAAATGGATGGACTGATTTTGACGGGACTTTTATTGGCAGGTAGCTGATGTAATAAGGAGTAACTTAGGCTAATTTTATTTTAGAAAAATAAGACGATGTCGCAGGCACAGCTAGTACGTATATATGGATAAACTACTTTGTTCTAAATACGATTTATTAGTACTGAGGTATTTTGAATTTTTTAGTACATTACAGCAAGTTAAAAATAGATCAACATACATTAATAATAATTAAATTCCATATAATTTTCACGCATGTACAATTTGCTACTTTAATTGCCACCTTATAATTATGTATGTAGGTATGTAGTTTGCGTGTCAGTACTTACTCGAATGTTTATGATAATGTGTCGTTTTTATTATATTAATTTCAATAATAGATGACGTCATTTTGCAAATTAATTTCGCTCGTTTAGTACAATGTATATGCATATGATAAATAGAAATAATCTTTATTCAAATAAATACATTACAAGCACTTTTGAATAGTCATATTTTTTTATTCTATCACTCATTCGGAACGTAGATCCATCACAAGTAGAATGAACAAGAAATTTTTGAGTAAATGTTATTTTTTATATATTCTCTTTTGAGTAAATGTTATTTTTTATATATTCTTTATTGCACAGATAACACTAAGATATTAAGTTGGACTTATCCCTAGAAGAGATCTCTTCCAGTCAACCTAAAACAGTGGGATATGTGGTACTGCGTGGGTAATAACTGGTGCAAACAAAAAAAAAATGTCAAAAGCTAGATTTTTTTTTATAACACAGGGGACAAACGAGCATGCGGCTCACCTGATGGTAAGTGATTACCGCCACCCATGAGCACCCGCAACACCAGGGGAATTGCAAGTACGTTGTCGGCATTTTAAAAAGGAATAAGCTCTTTTCTTGAAGGTTTCAATATCGTATCGTTTCGGAAATACCATTGCTGGAAGGTGATTCCATAATGTGGTTGTGCGAGGCAAAAAGTTTCTAGAAAACTGCACTGTGGAAGACCGCCATTCATCCAGATGATCAGGATGATATTTCAGTTTCTGGCGGGTGGTACGGTGGTGAAACTCCGCAGCTGGTATTAATCCGAACAATTCCTCAGAAGCTACATACTTAGATTTAATAAATAACTGCACATATGATATTAATTATGATGACGTCTCATAAAAACTGAAGTTTCAAGCTTTCAATTGACATATAATTTATATTAAAATGTTGTATACTTTGACTTAAATCAATGTTTGAATGCAGAGGTGGCGCGAGTCGATTTGGTTGCTCGCGACTGTACTCGTAGATCTGCTCGCGGTTTTACAAGCGTGAAATTCATAGGCTGTGTTATTCTAACGCATAAACTATATAATTTGCAATTATTTGACGACCTCGGTGGTCTAGTGGTTTAGCACACCGCTTTACGTCCGATGGTCGCGGGTTCGATTCCTCGCACGGCACAAACATTTGTATTCATGAGTATGATTGTTTGTGTCGATCTGAGTGTTTGCTGTGTATAATATGTATGTATTTACGAAAAAATATGTATAGCTATGTATTTGTATCAGTTATCTAGTACCCATAACACAAGCTTTAGATAGCTTAACTTGGGTCTAGATGGCGCTGTGTGAATTGTCTTGAGATTATTATTATTATTATTATTGTAAAATTTATTTAAAATCGATTCAGTAGTTTCTACGTGAAAAATCCATCCATCCACACTCATCCACACTCACATACTTCTGCGTTCATAATATTAGTCAAATTCGTAATGAACAAAGGGCGTCATTTTTGGTTGTCAGCGTCACGCCAACCGACCGTCATTCCGCCGCAAGGAGTAATTACAAAGTCATATTTCTAGTGACTCACGCAAATTTAATTGTACCGTAGAAAACTTAGAATTAGTATCTAAGTCTAAAACAAGTAAACAGTCATAGTGACTTTGTATTTATATTTACGTCAAACGTCTAACTTAACGTTTAATTAAATCGTCAAATGGCTGAATAGTAAAACATTTTAGTCAATTAATTAATTTGCTTTTTACTTTACGCATTTTTTTTTATTTGAAAGATTAATAAATTAATTACTTCTCAAGTTTTCTGAGGAGGATGAATATATGATAATTGAAGGAGGGAGGAGTGGACCAGTGTTTTTATAAACGTGTACAAATTAATTTGAAAAGAATAAGAGCTGAGTTTCTTGTCTGTTTTTTTCTAGATCGAAAGCATACCGAACTGACAGATTCGACATGTCATAAGAATCTGTGTGTGATTAGATGAGATTTGATTTGAGTGCAAATAAAAGGCTGCCAAAAATATTTTACCTCTTCTTTGTTTAAGGAAAACTATGTCCATAGTTTGATGCTTTTAAACGCTCTCAAATATATATGATCACATCAAGTGTTACGTTCACTACAACTTTGATAATACGAGTAGTAGTTGTCATTAACTACTACTCGTATTATCAAAGTTGTAGTAGTCGTCTACTGCATGTAAGACTAAGTAGTTTTTATTCTTACCTCAGGCGGCAGGGTGGGTGAAAGACTCTTGTTCTTGGAGAACAAGCTGGTGCGCCTGCTGGATGACTGTTCGGAGTGTCGGCGGCACGCGCCACTCATCCAAGTGCACATGCGTGTGCAACAACTGGAAAAAAAATCATATATACTTATAATGAGCAATACAGAAATAAAAAAATAAAAAAAAGTTTTTGTTTGTTCGTCTGTACATTTATAGATATTATGGACAGACTTGGTCATACTTGTACAGACTTGGACAGACTTTGACATAACAATTTGAGTGGAGAAGGGATTGTTAATGATGGTCAGTATTGGGTCTATTGCTATATGCTGTATGTACTTATATCAATAAAAAAAAATTAAAAAATTGTCACAGCCACGTTCTTCGCCGTCAAGTTACTTGGCGAGTGGTCTGTCACTCAGTATGCTGTCACTTCTCTCGATCTCGGGCCGTTTCTTCTGCTAAGTAAAAGAACGTTAACTTACTTGGCTGGTTATCTATCACTCAGTATGCTGTCTCTTCTCTCAATCTCGGGCCGTTTCTTCCCGCAGCAACCAGTGTTGACCACGTGTGGTGACGCCGCCATCTCGGCCAAGTAAAAGAACGTCAACTTACTTGGCTGGTGGTCTGTCACTCAGTATGCTGTCTCTTCTCTCAATCTCGGGCCGTTTCTTCCCGCAGCAACCAGTGTTGACCACGTGTGGTGACGCCGCCATATCGGCCAAGTAAATGAACGTCAACTTACTTGGCTGGTGGTCTGTCACTCAGTATGCTGTCTCTTCTCTCGATCTCGGGCCGTTTCTTCCCGCAGCAGCCGGTGTTGACCACATGTGGTGACGCTGCCATCTCCGCCACGTTCCTCGCAGCAACTTCAGACACGTCGCTGACTCTCCGTCTACGTCCGCAGCATCCGCATAGAACGTCACGCAACTTCCGCTTGTGTTTCGTCTCGCTCTCAAATTGGATCGTTGCCGCCTGCTTCAAAATATATCATGATATGAATTTTACTGAAATTATAATTACTAGTGTTGGCCTAATGGTCTAAATTCGATTCATTAACTATAGACGATACGGACCGTGTGGGGCGTACACGGTCCGTATCGTATTCGTATCGTACCGTGCTTACTCTGTTTAATTAATTAATCCATCCCTATTACTATTCTAAAACATGTTTAAACTTTAGTATAAACATACCTTATCTGCTGCTTTTGCAATATTCGCATCTTTATCTTCTTCGTCTTTCTTCTTACAACAATTAAGTCTGCTCATTGTTCCTTTTTTCTCTGCTGGAGCTTCAGTATCTGTTTCAACATCGCTTTCTCCTTTTACACAGCATTTCTTACATTTCCCCATTAACCGGGAACCTATTGTAGGTTTTTTAGGTTCTTTGTCGGTGTCTGGTGTTCCTTCCTTGCTGTCCTTGGAAGATTCAGTTTTATCTTCTTTGGAATGGTTTCGATGGGCTCGGGCGGGAGGCTTTGGTGTTGTACTGGTGCTTTGGGGGAATCTGGTGGAATTAACATATTATTTAATAGTTGAATATGGAATGTTGGATCCGCTTGCGCTGACAGTATACGCTGGCGGGGCAACTATGAAGGGTGATAGGTGAATGTTGGGTGTACTTATCAACTGCAGAATTTCAAGAGTGTTCATCCATAACATAAATGCTAATGACATGAGTGTACAATAAAATAAGAATGTATATCATTACAGTATATATATTCATCACAAATGGTTTGGGGCTTAATTACATATGGTATTTGGTAGAAATTCTCGTTTAAAACAGATTATTTACGTTTAGATATGAACCATGTTACATTTGATGTTGAATCATAATTTACCTTACTTTAAATTACTGGAATGGCAAATTAGCTGCCATATCACCAGAGATAACCGTAATCTATACAATTAAACAGCACATCGGACATCAAGTTATCAAGAGACACTGTGATACTATACCCAGGAGTGGGTATATCAGAGGTCTAACAGGGTCTAACAGGGTCTATCATGCTTCTATATACTGTAAATTCACTGGTTGAAGGGTGAGACTTCAACCAGACATCTTACTAAGCAATGCGATACCCATGCAGACTTTAGACTTTTTAATAAAGTTAGAGTAATAATAAGTAGTTAAAGTAACATTGTCATTGCTACTCTCAAACTTGAAACAAAATCCCAAACTAATAATACTCTATACAACGTCTTCCTCAGTTAGAAGTAACATTGTATGTGTAGTCTCAAATTTAAACAAAATTCCAAACTCAGAATATTTTGATTCTAATTTTAATTTTGATTTTGACCTCGATTTTAATCTTATAATTTTTAATTTAGCTATAATTTTGTTGCGTTTTTTGACACGAGATGAGGAATATCATAGAATGAAAACAATAAATGACCAAATTGACAAGAGCAAGGACTTTATGTCGGCTGATAATGATGAAAACAAAATGGTACAATAGAGAATCGTTATAATGAACCAGCTGGTTTGTTTGTTGTGTTTGTGCATCAATAAATATAACAGTTTATAATGTTGCATGATCATTCACGAAAATAGTACGAGGTTATTGCATGCTGATGTTAACGTGCCATTTAAAATTAGTTTTAAGTATGTGTCAAGATTTTATATAACTTGGAAAGACAGATTGACAATCTATTCGATGAATATCTGCTTGTGGGGACTAGTCTATTCAGGTTACGGATGTTGATTACAATATTTCCTTTTGACAAAATTTGCATTAGCATATGCTGATGGTCGCTTTATTCTCCCTAAATTGAATTTAAAAAGCTGTATTTTTGTAAACATGTACATGATGATTTGAAAAAAATAAAAGTTTCTTGGCAAATTGCAATATAGCATATGCTGGTGGTCATTTTATCCTCCCAAAGAATTATTCTCCCAAATTTAAATTTAAAAGTGAATCTGTATTTTTAATAACATGTACAATCTCATTTAAAGAGAATAAGAATTTCTTGTAAGTCTTTCTCTGCTCAAAAGCATTACGAACTGACGGTAGATTTGACATATCAGAAGTCTATAATAGACCTACATGAATAAAGATATTTTGAATTTGATTTTGAAAAAGGGGTAACAATCATACTAGTGTCTATGTATATGTCCCATAAAATTTCCCACAAACAATGTCCCGTAGAAGACCTTACTCAAAAACATCTATTAATGTTACACAATTTAGAATCCCAATAAAGTCCGCAACGAGCATATTAAAAATTCTTTCAAAGTAGCTCTTATCGTGGAAAAAGTGAGAGAAAGTCGCTTACGCTGGCATGGCCATATCCAAAGACGCAAAGACGACTATGTGGTTAAGAAGATACATAGGATACCAAACTCGACCAATATTACGAAGCAGATGGACCAAGACAACCTTACTACTCAGACAACCCAGAACAGAGTTTTATCTGGCGCAGATGTACAGGCAGATCTGTCTCTAGATAAACTGGGAACATGGGTTGGGCAGAGAGAGAAAATCAAAAATTTGCAATGCATCCATCCGAAACTGGGACAGGTTGCTTGTATTAGTATAAAAGTAATTCTTCTTTAGGTGCCATCTCCTATCGGAGGTTGGCGATCATTATGGCGATCTTTACTTTGTCCGCGGCGGTCCTGAAAAGGGACCTGGTGCTCATCCCAAACCACTGCCTGAGGTTTTTTAACCAGGAAGTGCGGCGTCTGCCTGGTCTTCGGCAACCTAAACCGGCAACATAAAAGTAATGTCAAGGCCTTTAATATTATTTTCTATAGGTTACATTATTAATAGCGTGCTTTGAGAACATTTCTATTATTAAGCTTTGATTTCATACGTAAAACACACGTGGTTCGATTTGGCATTAAAAGGTATGGAATGTGTGACCATTTACCATTAAAATACTTTATGGTAATCAATACTAATGTAACTAGCTGTTACCTTCGACATCGTCCGCGTGGAATTTTTTTTTATGTAATCGTAATCTAAGTCACTCCTTATAACATTAGCTATGTCTGAAATCGGTCTAGTGTTACTATTTTGTTTAATTCCACTACCATTAGCATGTGTGGGAACACTTATATTTAGTGCGAAAACTTGACTATCGTTACGATCTTCTGTATTGGTTATCAAATTCCTTTCGTTATTGAATCTACACCCATATTAATAATAATAATAATAATAATATATTTTATTGACACCAATTTAAGTAGTTACAGTTATTCTCCTTATAAACTATTACATTTTTGTTAATATTACGAGACGTGTTTAGTCTTTGAAAGAGGCATCATCAGGCACTGAATAGAGTTCGGATATAGCTTGGAAGCCTAGTGTTGATTGTTCGGCTGTCGATCATACAAGAATTGGTCACCGAACAGTCAACACTTTAAACATATTTCTGTATGTCTATTCCTTGTTATAATTATTATTATATACAACAATATCTCGACGTCTCCTTTTTCTTTCGTTCAAGTATGTATGGCTGTAGTTGTAGTTCTTTGTTTTTGTTCGTTTGTTTGCTGGAAAAATATCTTTTTAGAGTTCAGCTCGCCCATGTAGTTTAGATTTATCGAATCACTGTTTTTCTTCCTTTGTATATACAATCTTTACATAGTATAAAATGAAATCGCTTCCGCAGTCTGTTCGCTTTGATCTTTTAAACTTTGATGCAGTTTTTAGCAATAGATAGAGTGATTCGAGAATGTTTACATGTATATTACATGTACACCCGATGCTAGGGTGGGTAGTAAAGAACCGTAGCGCGGTGGTTATCACCTCACTTCTGTAGCGTTATGTATGATGTAATGAGGTGTCGCCATATAATATATGTTTATTGTAGTATGTAGGTAGAATATTGTACTACTTATTGTACATTACTAAATTTATTGGATAGTGTGCTACATGGCTTATTATAATCGCAACGCGTATCTTTATTTAGTTTCTATTTCAAATGTATACAATGCTCTGGATATGGGCGCAAATAACTGCAACACAGTTTTTATAAACTAACGTAGTTGTTTCAGTTTAACATGTCATTGTTATAACTTTGTTTTTGGTTTAAATAAATTCTTTAATTCCTTAATTTGACGCTGAGTTCGAACGTGGACTACCTTTATATTCATAAATCTATGTTATCTGGAGAGGCTAATGGGAGAATGCCGAGTGTTGACAAAAATATTACAATTGTAGGCACAACTTCTATATATATATGTATAACTCAAAGGTGACTGACATTGTGATCTATCAACGCACAGCCCAAACCACTGGACGGATCGGGCTGAAATTTGGCATGCAGGTAGATGTTATGACGTAGGCATCCGCTAAGAAAGGATTTTGATTAATTCTATCCCCAAGGGGATAAAATAGGGGATGAAAGTTTATATGAAACTTTGTCAATTTTAATGCGATCGGGCTGAGACTTTGCATGCATAAAGTTACTATGACGTAGGAATCACCTAAGAAATGGTTTTGATAAATTCCACCCTTAAGGTGTAATTTATCCAATTAACGCGAGCGAAGCCGCGGGAAAAAGCTAGGAAAGAATAAATGCAATAAGTAGTGGCATGTAAAGAGCTGCTTTTCTAACAACGGCCATGGACAATTTTACTGACCACTTACACTTTGCATTGTAACCGTAAAGATACTTATCACAACATCGATCGAGAATCCTACTGACCATCCCACCTACGATTGTAGCCGTGAAAGTATTGTTTGAAACATGCTTTCCTATTTATTTTGCACAGTATCAAAATATAAACTGGTGTTGTTTAAATAGTGTTGTGTGGGTATAGTTTCTTGAAATGACGTGATTCATTCGAGTGGTCATGCGAACATTCCTATATAAAATTAGTAGGTACGTCTGTTACCTCTGCAGCGTGGATTGCCCTGGATATCTGATGGGGAAGGTAAATCGAATTGTTAAAGGAATAATTCATTATAAGAATAATAATAATCTCAGAACAATTCACACAGCGCCATCTAGACCAAAGTTAAGCAACCTAAAGCTTGTGTTATGGGTACTAGACAACTGATACAAATACAGACTTTTTTTCGTAAATAGATACATATTATACGTAAACACCCAGACCGATACAAACAATCATACTGATGAATACACAGGTTTCTACCGTGCGAGGAATCGAACCTGTGGTCATAAGGCGGTGTGCTAAATTGCTAGACGCCGCTGAAATTAACACTAGTAATTTAAATTATAATAATAATATACTTAACAATCGATTTGAGACAAAACAGATGGAAATTTTGTAGGTTTTGAATATACAGTGAGTAAAATAATATGGGGCTATATTTTAGTCTAAAGTATTAAATGAAACATAACCTCTCTTATTTTTGCAGGTGGAAAAATTTATAAAAAATAGTCAAGTTATTTTTCAGATTATTAATTACAAACATAAATGAAATCTTTGCCTCTTCATAATATAATGTATAAAGTTAGAAAATGTCAAATATTTGATCTATCTATTTAGGTTATTGGAATATTTTATCCTTTTCTTTTAAGCAATTTTTTTAA